TCCACAAACTGCATGCGGCTGCGAGCAGTCGACATCGAATTCGGGCGACGACAGTCCTGCACACACCCTGGTCGTGTTCACGACTACTTCTAGTCAGCGAGGGAGTGCCTTTGTACTCTCCTGGGGATCGTGCGCCATCATTGGCAGCATTGGTATCGGTATCGGCATCGCGACGTGGGTCCGCCGGGGCCTCGACCTCTTCCTGGGGGCCAATGTTTTACATCCCGAACCTTGCGGCTCCGGGGCCCCGGGACGGCCCAGGGAGGCAGGCCACGTCCGAGGTCGGGCGAGGTCCCCCCACAGGCGAATATTGTTGCAAACATCGAAAAGAATCAAGAGCTGCTCCAACATCGTCGAAGAAGAGTCGAAAGATCGTCCCCGGACGAGTTGGTTGACTGTCTTTGAATCCTCCTCCTGTAAAGGGGCACGCCCGACCTAACGAGTATCGTTGAACCGATCCCCATCCCCAGCAACGTGGCCTGGGCCCCACTGGCCGATTTGCCCCCCTGATGGGGATACAGGTCGTTCCCTTCGGGTTCCGAGGGGTGTATCTCCAACTGGGGGGATCAGTTGGTGGGGGTCTCGCAAGGGATGGGGATGGGGATGGGGGTCGGTCAAACGATGCTGACCCGAGCCACGTCCCCGAAGCCCAGCCGCCGCGGCCTCGCCCTGCGGCGCCGAGGCCCGAGGGCAGAAGCCCCTGGCGCGCGCAGGCGCTCGGGCCCCCCCAGCCAGGAGGCGCGACGGAGCCTCCCTGGGCATCAGGTCGGACGCGTCCCCCCTAGGGGTCGGGGATGGACAGCACTCCCTATATCAAAACGTGGTCTGGTCAAAAAACGGCCTCGGGCCCAAACCTGGCGGCCGCAAGCTTGGAACATGACGGCCGCGGCGCCCTCTCGAGAACCGAAACAGGACAATCCACTGATCGACGTGTCAGGGTGGGGGGTCTGTCCACCCCCGATACAGGCGGATCGTGGACAAAAAAACAAAAAAAAAAAAAACATAGTCGAAGAATCGTCCCCTGACTATTGTTTGACTATTGTCGTATAATTCTCCTGCAGAGGGACGTGCCCCACTTAACATTGGCACCACGTGCCTGCGTGAGCGCCTGCCCCAAAGCCGGCCGCCACCGCTGGGGGGGCGGCGGGCTCCGGCTTCAAGTCCAGGGCCTTGAGGCGCACGCGCATCTCCTGGGGAGCCCGCAAAGGCCCTCCCATGCCAAAGACCACTCGCGACTGGCCATCGCTCGGACGTCCATTCCCTGTGCTTTTTTCGATTTCGTGCGTGGTTTTTTCGCCAAATGATCAAGGATGCTCCTCGATGGTCCTCGCCCGAGGAAACATGCACACGTCCGAGCGATGCCAAGGCCAGCAAAGGCCCTCCCATGCCAAAGGCCACTCGCAAAGGGACCGGTGGACCGCCGGGCCTCCTGGCAGTACCCCTTTGGCAAGAGGAGCAGAACTCCACCAGAGAATCGCCCCCGGCACGAGGGGCCCCGGTTCTGCTATGGGGGGACCTTTGGCCCTTGCCAGTCTCTCCTTGGTGAAGGCGTCGTCCTCCGTCTCTATCACCCTCTCTGGCCTCGGCGCGCGCGGGGCCGAGGAGCTCCGGGGCTCTGCAGGGAGCCGGGCACGCGAGCGGCAGCAGGCAGGGCAGTGCTCGGCGGCGGGCGAGGGGGGGGGGAAATGAGAAGGAGAAGGCGTTCTCAGAAAGCGGCGGGGCTTCTCAAAGCCCTCGCCCCTTGCCTTCGGGGAAGGCTGCGGAAAGCCCTCAGAAGGCCGGGGGACTTCCAAGTCTTCTGAGAGGGCCCGCCTCTTCGCACCTCCCCCCCGGGTTCGCCGCCGCACAGCACGGCGCACCGTGCGGCCAGACCCGCGTCCCTCGAGCAATTGACGAGCGGCCTGGTGCCGCGAGAGCTCGGGCACTGGAGAAAGCGCTGATCGTCGCAGGTCTCGGCTTGACAAGTCCCACAGTTAGGTCGGGCATGTCCCCCTACAGGGGAACTTGGGACGAAAAAGGAAAGTTACTCAAAAGATACGCCATCTGTTCACAAAAAAAAAAAAAATCCCTTACAATGCTTTTACTATGTTTGAGCACTCCTCCTGTAGAGGGACGTGCCCGACTGAATCCCACGGTGGAGCGGAGCGGGGGAGGGGGACGACGGCGGCGCGGGAGGCGACGGCGGCCTCGGGCGCGCGGCGGTAGGCGCAGCGGCCACGAATCTGGGCACGGCCCAGGGCGAGGAGCATGCCGAAGAAGGGCTGCTCCGTCGGGGGGGTCTCGGGGGGGGGGAGGAAAGGGGGGGATAGCAAAGGGTAGGGCAAAGAATCAGCTCAAGCAGCTGCTTTTCCCAGCGCCTCCCGGCGCCGGGAATGGGCCCCTCGGTGGGGCCGACACCAGCTGCATGCAGCAGACTTCGTAACCCCCCCTTGCCCCATCCCCCCCTTTGGTCCGGCCCGAGTTGAGCAGGGACCGACCGTCCCCGCACTTCTGTAGGCCAACCACGAAATGTTCTTAGGATCCAGAAATGTTCCAAGAACAAAAAACAATGTCCTTAGAACAAAAACCCGATGTCTTAAAACAAGACAGACTCAGCCAGAAATGGTCCAAGTACATGCCGTGCAAGCCACAAAAGGTTCTTCGAACATTGTTTGGTAGGCCTCCAGGCACGCCAAGACGCTTCCCCACTGCTCGAGTGTGCCTGAAAGGGAATGTTCCGTAGGGAAGATCGCGGGGAGATCAACTCTCGCCCAATCTCATCTGGTTTTCGGACCCCTGCCGGAGGCAACGACGGGGGGAGGGCGAGGCGGAGGGAGCCAGAGGGCGTCAGACAAGACGAATGTGTGGTTAAAGCCGGTGCAGCGTAAAGCGTCAGGAAAGGCGAGCAGGAGGACGACAGTGGCGAGAGACGTCGACAAAGACCAGGAGAGAGGAGGCAAGGATGAGCAGAGCGGATGGCAGAGGAGGAGGAGGAGGAGGAGGAGGAGGAGGACCCTATTTGTTCCTCGGGAGGGGCAGCGAGGCTTGTTTGTCCTGCGCACCGGCGCGGCCATTGGCAGCGAACGCACCTCGCACCGCACGCGTTGTGCTAAACTTAAACTATGGCGCGTGTAACACAAGCTCGGACTGGCTTGAAAACTGGGCTGGGCCTGCCGGGGAGGAAGATGGAGGGAGACACAGTGGGCAAGAATGAGAGGGGAAGCCTTGGAGGCCGTGGGGGGGACGCGGATCCTGCATTATAAAAAAGGCCGCGCAGGGCTAATTCTAGGTCGGGCGTGTCCTCCTACTGGCGGAGCTTGGAGGAAAAATGGCAAGTCAAAACGTACTAACATAATATCAAAGTAGTCGACAAATCGTTCCTATACTATTTTTCTCAACTATGTTGGAAGCTTCCTCCCGTAGAAGGACACGCCCGACATACGGCTAATTTCCAGGAAGGGCACCCTGCTCGCGAGGACAGGCGTGCGCCCTGAGCTCCATGCTTGAGCAGGGACCGATCGCCCCAGAATTCCTAAAGGCCTACCACGACATGTTCATAGAACCCAAGAAGCTTCGAACAACAAAAACATGTTCTGAGAACATCAAGCTGATGTGTTAAAGCTACAGTCCCAGCCAGAAATGTTCTAACAACATGTCGTGCTAACCACACAAGGTTCTTAAAGCATTATGTGGTAGGCCTATAGGCGAGCCAGGACTTCGCCACTGCTTGACATGCCCCGAGCTCATTAAGAAAGAGCTGAAAACTCGACCGGCCGCTGCAGCGAACCGCACGGCTCGAGCGGCGCGTGCCCGAATCATGGCGGCCCCCGAGCAGAAGCAACACGTTCGCCCGGCCATTCGCCGGGCGGGGCAGCGAAGCAGCCAGCTGAGAGAGGCAGGAAACGGACAACCGTCGTGCTGGCATTGCTAGAAGTTCCCTCATCCTATGACTAGATCAGCCCCTGCAACTTGTATTCCTCGAGCACGGCTTCAACATCGCGCTTGCAGCCGATAACCACCGGGCACTTCTCGTGGATCTTCGTGGGCACGATGTCCAGCATCCTCTGGATCTTGCCCTTGAACAGGCCGCACGAGGCCATGCCACCCGCGGCCTCCATGATCATGGCCATCGGGAACCCCTCGTACAGCACCCTCAGCTTCCCGTTCGGCTCCTTCTTGTCCGCGGGGTAGAGGTAGATGCCGCCGTACAATATCGTGCGGTGCACGTCTGACACCATGGAGCCGACGTACCTGGCACTGTACGGCTTGGCGCCCTCCTTCCACTTCTCGACGATCGACTGCATGGCGGCGTCCCAATACGACGAGCCCTTTGAGGCGTGGGTGGCTCAGGGAGCTTCTTCTTCCAACCCCCCGTCTTCCCCTTCAGGGAGGCGCTCACCCCTCCCTACCCCATACCCCTGGAATTGAACGGGGCGTCTCGCGAGACGCTGGAGCGTCCAAGATGGTTTCGGCGAGGAAGCCAAAATAAATGATTTGACTAAGGTGTTGGCCACACGGTGGCCTCCCAAGGGCTCACAACTTCGCGCTTCGCGCTGCGCGAAGTGCGAGTAACTTCGCGCTCTCGCGCCGCCTCCCAGGGGAGAAGAGGAGGATGAGGGATCGGAGCGGGATAACTCCGCGCCGAACCACGAAGCGCGAATAACTTCGCGCCCCCGAGGGCGCCCTTGTCTCCTGGGGGGGGGCCTAATTGAGGGGCTCCCCTCCTTTGATCGATCTCCTCCAAGATGGCCCGAAGATGGCCTCCGAGGCGCTCAATGAGTATCGTTCAACCGATCCCCATCCCCAGCGGCGTGGCCTGGGCCCCACTGGCCGATTTACCCCCTAGATGGGGATGTAGGTCGTTCCCTTCGGGTTTCGAGGGGTGTATCCCCAACCTCGAAGGGGATGGGGATGGGGATGGGGATGGGCATCGGATAAACGGTACTGACTCAAGGGTTCTCCAAGCGGGAGCCCAAGGGGGGCCCAGGAGGTCCCAACAGGGCCCCCACGACGATCCCGAGCTGCCCCAAAGAGACCCCAAGGCGAGGCTCCAAGAGGCGTCCCACAGGCACCCAAGGCGCCCAACAAGAGGCCCCCAGGACTGCCTTCAAGAGACCCCCAAGACGACCCCAAGAGGACTCCAACAAGCTCTAGAAAGAACTCATAGAACACTTCCAGAGGCATCCGAGAGAAATCATAAGAGACTCTGAGGTACAGCTTCTGCTCGCCCTGCTCCTCCCCCTCACCCTCTGCCTCATCCGCCTGTCTCTCCTGCTTCCTGTCCCTCCTCCCTCTCCCACTCTACCTCGTCCTCCTCCTCCTCCTCTTCCTCCTCCTCTTCCTCCTCCTCCCCCTTCTCCTTCTCCTCCTCCTCCTGCTGTCTCTCATCCTCCTCCTCCTCTCGCTCCTACTCCGATTCCTCCTCAATCCTCCCCCTCTTGGGGCACTACGCCGTGCCCAGCTCTTTTTCCGCTGTATTCTCCTCCGCTTCCCTGATCAGGGCAACTCGCCTGGCCATCGTTTCTGGATGGACTGGTGGGGTCACGCGAAGCGTCTAGAATTCTGGCTGTTGCCCTCATTGCAACTGTAGATCTTCTTCCCGCCACCCTCCGGAAGCTTCACGTGCGCTTTGATGTGCACGAACTCCCCGAGCGACGGGTCGAGCGTGAAGCGGTGCACCCCGTGACCCTTGAAGGTTATGACGAGCTCCGTGGCGGCTCCGTACATGCAGTACCCAGCCACGAGGAGGTCGCTGCCTTTGCGCAGGACGTCGTCCAAAGTGGCTGGCTCCTTTCCGCTGCTCTTCTTCTCGTAGACGCCGAAAATGGTCCCCGTGCTGACGTTGCAGTCGATGTTGCTGCTGCCGTCGAGGGGATCGAACGCGACGATGAAGCGCCCCGCCTTCGCCGCGGGCACGAAGATGGGGTCCTCGTTCTCCTCTGAGACCAGCACGGCGCACGTGCCACTGTTCACCAGGGCGTCGATAAAGATGTCGTTGGACAGCACATCCAGCTTCTTCTGGTCGTCGCCGGTGGAGTTCACCTCGCCCGCGAGGCCGAAGAGGTTGCCGATGCCCGCCTTGCAGCACGCGCGCGACGTGGCCTTGCAGGCGAGGGTCAGCGCCATCAGCAGCAGGGACATCTCGTGGTCCCCAGTGCGGGCCATGATGTACCTCTGCAGGGTGGGGAACTGCGCGACGCTCACGCTGTCCGCCGCCCCGGTGACCACGAGGTCCGGCTCCTCCGCGGTGGCCTTCGTCATGCCTGCCGGCGGTGTCACTTGGCAAGCGCGGTTCCACTGCTCGCAGGGTACCTGCTCGCAGAGGGCCTGGACCCGCCGCGCAGGATCTGCGATCCATGACATAGTGAGCGTCTTCTTGTTCGGCGTTTCGACATCGGGCGGAAGGGGGGGGAAGGGGGGGGGCTGGCTCTGGACCTCTGCTTAGTGCGTCTGTCTGCAACAGTGCGCCCTATGGGGGAGTGACTCCACCTGCTTAAAACAAGGAAGCAAACGACAAAAAACAGCCAAGATCTGCTGCAGGGCTCCAGGGGGGGCAGGGGGGGGGGCCAGGGCCCGCGCCGATCGGAAAAAACAATAAGATGATAGAACGATCACACATAGAGGAAGACCTGTTTTGTTTTCTTCGTCGGACGTTTGCGAGCAGGAACCTGGCGAGCAGCGGGACGCGCTCGGCGAGTCACGGGCGGGCCTGCCGCTTCCTCCAGGTGCGGCGCAGGTGTGCCGCGCTCCCTCGGGGGGGGAACGCAGGGGAACGAAGACTGGCATACACCTACAAACTCGGAGGCCCGCGCGGACTTCTGGGATCCGCGCTGGACCCCCCCTCCCTGGCGCGCGGAGCGCGCCAAAGGGCGGTGCCGGAGGCGCCGCCAGGGGGGTCCAGCGCGGAGCCGAGAAGTCCGCGCGGGCCTCCGAATTTGTACAGGGCAGCTTCTAATGCATAGGAGTTTTTAGATACAGGATGTTTAATTCATGATCAGTGTATGAATGAATTTGTGCACGAACTCATCGTTGGTTTGAATACTAAATCCCTGCATGCTTCATACATGATCCGCACGCGGAGCATGTCTTAGAAACGGCACTGTATGGTTATGCCATGCTCCGTTCCCCTAGGACGGGGGGCCTCGTGGGCAGAAAATGCCACAACGGCCTGAGCCACAATGGCTGCGGAGACACACGCGCAGCGGAGCCCCGGGGGGGAGAAATCCGCTCGGGCCTCCGAATGTGTGTTTATGCCGTGCTCCGTGCCCCTGCAGGACGGGGGGCCTCGGGGGCAGGAGATGCCCACCACGGCCCGAGCCACAGCGGCTGCGGAGGCGCACACGCGCAGCGCCGGAGCCCCCGGGGGGGAGGGGCGAGAAACTCCCCGGGGAGCCCAGGTCGCCCGAGCAGATGCTTGCCCGTCCGCCTCCTCCTCCTCCCCCTCCTCCTCCTCCTCCTCCTCCTCCTCCTCCTCCTCCTCCTCGAGGGGGAATCTGGACGTGGCCGCCATGCGAACGTTGCCACTGGGGCCTTTCGGCGGAGCTCCCACACCTGGGGCCACGGAGCGTGCGAGGGGTGCGCCAACGCGGGGCGGGGCCGCAGGCCTTCCATGGCCACGGCCGGATGCAGGCCAGGATGGAGGGCTCCGGAGACAGATCTGGAGCTGAACACGGGAAAGGACGGGGACGGAGGGGGGCGAGAGCGGAGTGACTGCCTACCAGACCACCCCAACCCAACCCGAAGACCCGAATTTCGGGTTGGGGGGGGTAAGGGTTCGACATGTGTTTTTTCGATGTTTCCCGACCCCCCCCACTGGAAATCGAGGGTAACTTTGAGCCTTCGGGTTGGGTTGGGGTGGTTTGGTGGGTGGTGACGGAGGTGATGAGGCGAGAGCGCGGGCGCACATTCAGAGTGAAATCACCGAGTGTCTGCCTGGCGTGGAAATTCGTGAGGACAACGATGCGCAACGATCGGCCTCGAGCGAACTGGTATCCGATCGGATTCCCATCTCTACCGTTATTGCGACAGGGATCCCGTCGCACAGGCTGTTGACACAATGAGCGCAGACTGCCACAACAGAACCTGAGCGACAACAAGCAACGATGCCCGGCCCAGAGGCAACGCCACTCCAGCATTACCTCGAGGCCGCCTAGATAGGGCTCGAATAGAAGGGGTCGCAAGATCGCGCCGCATCGCCGATGTATCGTCGATGCATCGGCGACCACATCGATCTGCATCGGCGATACATGGGCGATGCGGCGTGATCCTCCGACCTCATCTGCTCTTATAAGATCCGATGCTGGCTAGACCAGGATATCCTCGATTTGGGCAAAGTACGGAACAAGTACCAGTACGCGCATGGCACGGTAACGCGAGTGTAAAATAATACGGATCGAACGGACGAGCATGGCGAGGTCCGCGAAACGCAAGTGTGAAATATGTGCGACGCGGAAGAACGGGTATGAAACACATGCGAAATAAGAACGAACGCACATCACTAGTACACAGTCCAAACAAAGTATGAAACGAGAATGGAAACAACGATTGCAGCTCCAATGTGTGAACAAACATTTGACAAAGTATATGTCACACACTTTCCTCACACTTTGGATGTGTGAACTTCTGTATTTCGATCTTCTGCACGGCACATTTCTCGTTCTCGTACTTCGGCGTGGTACTGTTGCCTCTTGCAATGAGGATAAGTTGCGTTCCTCTGGGGAGGGTCCTGTGTAGCTGGCAGGAGTATCATAAATCTACTCAGACCCAGACCCTAAACCTTTGGGAGGGGACCAAAGTTTGGAGGGCCGAAAACATTAGGGATAAGGGGCTCTTTCCCTACAGATGTATCGAACCAAACTGCCAGCATATATAATCCCCATGAACAGACGGGGACCTCAGTGAAAGCACGTGCTCACTGTGTGATTCGGGTTAGGGGCTCCTTATCCTCGATGATCGGGTACCCCTGCAGATCGCACGACGCTGCTTCAGGGTATTGGGTCGCAGCATCGTTGCAGAGGGAGGAGGAGGAGGAGGAGGAGGACATGGAGGAGGAGGAGGAGGAGGAGGAGGAGGAGGAGGAAGGAGGAAGGAGGAGGACAGGAGGAGGACCACGAGAAGGGAGGAGGGGGGCCTCGCGCAAAGCGGGGGCCAGGCATCTCTGCGATTGCCCCTCCCCGCGTTCCCACTCGCAGCATCGTCGCACGGCTGTCTCAGCGGGGGCCTCGCGCAAACTGCTCTCCTCCTCCTCCTCCTCCTCCTCCTCCTCCTCCTCCCCCTCTCTCCTCCTCCTTCCTCCTCCTCATCATCATCATCATCCTCTTCCTCTTCTCTTCCTCATCCTCATCCTCATCCTCATCATCGTCCTCCTCCTCGTCCTCCTCCTCCTCCTCCTCCTCGTCGTCCTCCTCCTCCTCCCCCCCAGAAGGGGCACCCCCATAAGTGGGGTGTCGGGCCACAGCGCCCCCTGGCGGAGGCGGGGACGGCTGGGCCTTCGGGGCAGAAACCCCCACACCTGGGATGGTCCCCCAAGCGGGGTCCCCTTCCCAAGGGGCCTCCGGCCACGCAGTCTCCCACGGGAGCCTGGCTTCCCAGCCAGGTGTCCCCCGTGGGAGTCGTGTGCCAGGGGGTCCGTCTCCCCCCCGTCGTGTCGTCGCTGTCGCTGTCGCGTCTGTCGTGTCGTGGCGGGCCCAAGGGGTGGGTGGCGGGGGTTTGGTGTTGCCTGGCCCCTGCCCGTGCTGTCGGTGGTCGGGTGCTTCCGGCCGGCAAAACGGGTCGGGGGAGCTGGCTTGCCATTCCCATGCCGCCCGCTTGCGGGGGGCCCGCCCGCGCCGTGAGCGCCCCGCGGCCCGCGGCGCGCCGCGGCCGCGGCGGCGCGCGCGGCGCCCCTGGGCATGCTCGCCCGCGCAATGTTCGGCGTACGTTATACCCCTTGCGGGCAACAAAAAAAACTCATCCTCATCTCCTCCTCCTCCTCCTCCTCCTCCTCCTCCTCCACCTCCTCCTCCTCCTTCTCCTCCTCCTCCTCCTCCCCCGCCTGCTCCTCCTCCTCCTCCTCCTCCTCCTCCTCCTCCTCCTCCTCCTCCTCCTCCTCCCTCCCCTTTCCCTCACCCTCCCCACAAAGCATATGAACAATACATCGGGAGGGGGCGGAGAAGGAGAGGAGGAGAACGAGTGGGGAGGAGCCGACGTAGCAGGAGAGTCAAGATGGACAACAAGATACCAGTGTTACGGACTGCAATCCAGCTTCCTCAAAAGGCGAATGCTTGAGGTGTTTTAACTGCACTGGGGAAAACTCGGCGGTGAGTAGGACTGGTCCTAAAACATCTTCCTTCATCTTCCCCCTCTCCCGTCGTCGTAGTTGTCGTATTCGTAGCGGTCGCAATCGTAGCGATCGTCGTCGTTGTTGCGCGGCGGGTGCCGCGGCAAAAATAATGAATTACGCCCTGTTGGCGGGACCCCGATCCTTCCATAAGGCTGCCGAGAAAAAAAAATAGGTACCCCAATTTGGGGGCTCTATAGACTCATCGCGGTCACATGAATGATTGACCATGAAAGGAGCCTTACTCCCCTGGGAGGTGACGCAAGTTAGGGGGGGCAAACACGAGGGATAAATGGTCGGTTCTGCAGATGTATCCAGCAACACCGTCCATATGTATAATAGTTGGTGCAATGACGGGGACATCAGTGAGACCACGTCTCCATTCTGTCATTAGGATTCGCATCATGTCATTCTCGATGGATGAGTCTGGCAACCTCGTGCGGCGGCGGCAAACGCAACGCAAAAGTTTTGACGCCGCGCCGAGCGCTCAGCCGCGAGCAGGCCGCGGCCCCGATCGTGCCAGGCTGCATTACGTGGGCGCGGCCGTGCCCCCCGGTGCTCCCGCGTCTCGGAACGCAGCCCTGAACGCCTCCGCCCGCGTCGCCAACGTGCCACCTGCCCCACATGAACACGGCCCCCCAACCTGACTACCTACCAGACCACCCCAACCCAACCCGAAGGCCCGAATTTCGGGTGGGGGGGGTATGGGCTCCATGTGTGTTTTTGTCGATGCTCCCGGACCCCCCCACACTAGAAATCGAGGGTAAATCTGAGCCTTCGGGTTGGGTTGGGGTGGTTTGGTGGGTGGTGAGTGCGGAACTGCCCTACATGAACACGGCCCCCCAACCCGCGAGACCAGTCTCGTGACACGAACGTTCGCGCACGGCGCACTCGCGAAGCCAACGTGGATTGATGTACGTGTGGGTCCTTCTATCTCGCTGCCGGTCAAGAGTGGGGGCAATCAGCTTTGGGCGAAGGACCGTGCAAAGGTCGTGCACCTCGTTTGGGGCCGCTAAGGGCTCCTGAGGACCACTTGTCCTGCAGTCCCAGGGGAGCCCAGAATCGAATCGACCAATCGGATCGGCGATCGAAATGAATCGGATCGGCGGAAATCGGCAGCCGAGCCGTGAAAAGTCGAATCGGCGGACATCATCGGGAGGCTAGCAGGCCTCCATGGAGGAATCGGGGTCCGAATCGGAATCCCAAATCGGATCGAATCGGAATCCGAAGCCATCGAAGTCGAATCGGAGGAATCGAAACGAGCCCTGCAGTCTTCCCTCCCCCCCAGGTTGCCGCCCGCCCGAGCAAGCAGGTCGCGGGTGGCTCTCGGGGGCAGGGGATGGCACTAGAGGTCAGTCGGGCATGCCTCTACAGGAGGAATATTCAAAGACTATCAAACAAAAAAAACATCTCGGGACGACTTGTCAACTGTTCATGACAACTTTGAAATGCGTGCTTACGATCTCCATTTTTCCCCCAATCAGTGCTTGCACTGAAGGTGTTGAAAGATTTGGCAAACATTTCACGCCGATTCTGGTAGCAGGCTGGGTTCTCCGGATCCCGGTTCCGGGTTCCCGGGTTCTCGGTTATTGGTCCCAGGCCAGTTTTGGTGGGCTCTGGGTTCCCGGGCTCCCGGGTTCCCGTCCGATCTCCTCAGCGACCACCATCCACTGATTGGGGTTTTTCTCTTGTGCAATTATGCCAAAATCGGCCTGCAGGAGGACATGCCCGACCTGGCACTCGAGAGAGGAGCGACGGCACCCCCACCTCCACCACCAGGGGGGGGCCACCGCCGAGGGAGGCGGTCCAGGGTGCCTACCAGAGCAGGATCACAACCATCACAACGATCACAAGGATGACAACGATCACAACGACAACGAGAATAACGATAACAACGACCACGACGGTCATAACGATCAAAACGATGACAGCGATGACAACGGCAATCACAACGATGGCAACGATGAAAACGACAATGATGACAGCGCACACAACGATAACAGAGATCACAAGGATCACGATGAGCTAGAGGCTGGAGATGTCTCGAGCGAGGCCAGGGGGGACACACCATCAGGGAGGATCGCCACCCACTGGCTCCTAGTGCTGGTGGTGGTGTGGCCCCACCGTTGCTCCTAGAGGGGACTGGGGCGGGAGGGAAAATACAGAGAAACAGACATCTGCGTATTGAATACAGCATCCGCTCACAAGGAACCAAGCAGCTGACGAACGACGGAGATACACGCTTCGCAAGAGAGAGCAGCACAATCAAGAGCCAGGCTTCTTTCTGGGCATCTTGAAGACCACTGACTTCCACGGCTTCTCGGGGTCTGATGCCTGATCGCATGTCTCATGCGCCCCCCGCTCAGAACAATTGGCACTCTTGCCCCTCATGTATGCAATACGCACGGTGCGATGCTAGGCAATGCGCATTTCCAGGCAAACGCATGCCGCGCATGTTCGTGCCCATGCCCTCACGAGCAGCGTGCACGGCGCACTGATTCAAGGATCTGACGCACACCCTCGCACGTCCCAGAAGAGTGCATGCACACATCGCGCTGAACATTAGACCATGCGCTTGGACGCCAGATCTGCGCACTGTCTACGCAGTGCCGGCGAACATCCTCCACTCCACCATCGGACCTGCAGATGCGCAGGAGGGGACAGCCCTCGATGCCTGGAGCAGAGAGGGGGAGGGGCCGAGGCACCGACGCGGAGATTGAAAATCAACACTGCGAGAAAACCACCACAAGCGATGAACAAACAATATGCTTACGTCGGGCATGTCCTCCTACAGGTGGATTTTGGAGGAAAACAAAACATGCTTCAAACCAGTCAAAAAATATCAGAAACATCGTCTCCAGACTATGTTTTGACTATTTGGGGACATTCCTCCTGTAGAGGGACAGGCCTGACTTAACAAGATGCCGACCACAAGCAATAGCAACAACACCAAAACCGCACACCGACCGAAGAGACACCGAGACCGAAACCTGGAATCAAGCCAAGAGAGACACAGAGGCGCAGCAGCCGCACCACGGCCGACCGAACCGAACCGCCCGAACGCAACCGACCAAGAGGCAGCCGAACGGACCGCGCCGGGGAAACCCTTGGCGACCCTCGTCGTCTGGTTGTCGGAGGGCTTGCTTTACACCACCACCACCACCACCACCACCACCATAAGCTGCAAGGGGAGGGGGTCCTCCTCCTCCTCCTCCTCCAGCTCCTCCTCCTCCTGCTCCTCGTCCTCATCCTTCCCCCATCCACCTCATGGTGGCGGTGGAAAACAGGCCCATCAGTTGTCGGGTCATCACTCGGGTCGCCAGCGGGCGTTCGGGACGCATTGGACATCCCTGGAGCGCTCTCGGCGAGGCGCAGCTGCTGGAGAGCCTCCCGAGGCTGGAAAACCCGCCGAGAACCGCAAAGATGTCCGAAAACCAAACAGAACTGACGAACACTACTCTCGTGTACGGGCGCAGCATCTAGAAGAAACAAACCGCGTAAACGTAGCGCACGGAGGTGCGCGCGGACTTCGTGGACCCGCGATGGGTCCGCCTCCCTGACGCGCGAAACGCGCCAGAGGCGACACCAGAGGCGCCGCCAAACATCCGCGCGGACCTCCCAAACAAATGATGCGTTTATACCGTCTGTTTCGCGGCCGCAGAGGCGAAACGCAGCGTGGCGCCATGGAGGGAGGAGGAGGAGGAGGAGGAGGAGGAGGAGGAGGAAGAGGAGGGGAAGGAGAAGGAGGAGGAGGAGCGGGTAGGAGGAGGGGAGGAGGAGGAGCAAGAGGAGGAAGAGGAAGAGGAGGAGGAGGAGGAGCAGGAGGAGGAGAACGAGGAGCAGGAGAAGCAGGAGAAGGGGGAGAAGGAGGAGCAGGAGGAGCAGGAGGATCAGGAGCTACCGAGCTGCGGCCACCCCGTGCGGCGGCGCAGCCTCCGCGGCCGCAGAGAGGCCGACGCCCGCCCAGTGCAAAGGACCGACCGAGGAGGCGCGCGTTGCCCGCTCCCGGCGCCGGGCGCGACGACCAGGCCCGGCTCGGCAGCGGAGGCATGCACTCTGGTAGCGACCATCCTGGGGCCAGCC